TATATATTTATCTTTTCTGTATTTATTTTATGTTATATATATATATTTTTTCTTGTAATGTATTTTAATTTTTAACTGGTGGCGCTATGGCCTATAGCGACACAGTGTCGCTATAGGCCATAACGCCACTTTCACATATTCGTATTTTTTTAAAATACTATTTACTTATTTTTTTTAAAATTTTTATTTTGTATTAAAAATGGGGTGCTATAGGCTATAGCAACTTCAGTCAAGCCGTTTAATGTCGCTATGGGCTGTAGCGACTTTATCAAAATGACTTTCATGGCTTCCCTGGACCTAGAAAAATCCACGTGTCACTGGTGTCGCTATGGGTCATAGCGACACCATTATAAACAGTCCCAAAGGTGTACATTGTTTAAAAAGAGCCCCAATTACGTAAATAACTTCATAAAATGCCCCACTATGGTCAATCAGCCCAATCTTCGTAATACATAGGTAACTGCAAATATTCACGTGAAATAAAATCGAATATGTTGTAAAAAAAGAAAAAACGATTATAAGAACCGCAAGTAACTGCTCCACTACTCCCTTCATTTTTTTTCTTAATCGTTTAAGGTGTTTGCACGAGATTTAAAGAAATAATTGATATTTTAGTATTCAAAAATATTTAATATTTACTTTCTTGTTATATCCTTTTTTTATTTTTTTTGTATTTAAGTCTTGAGACGATTGATTTGTATATACAATATGCACTTTTTGAAAAGTTAATGAATTAATGCATTAATTATTAGAATATACATATGAACTGTAACCTACTCCATTTAATCACACATTTAAGTAAATTGTGTCTTTTGGGTATTCTAATTCCTGAATGAATATCATGGAAAAAAAAAATTCATGGATAAATAATATTATTAGAAATATGTTGTCCTCATAAATGCAACATTAACTTCACATAGGTGATTAGAAAATAAATAGGTAGTACATTAGAAATAAATTAACACATTGTTCAGTAAACATACATTAATTATTAAGGGTAAAAATAAAAAAAATTAATGAGTCATTAATTTTAGAAAAATAACAATGAAAAAAACTTTATTTTTAAATGAAAAATAACAATGAAAAAAACTTTATTTTTTAAAAAAAATTTTCATTGTCATTTTTCTAAAATTAATGACTCATTAATTTTTTTTTCATTTTCACCCTTGATAATTAATGTATGCTTACTGAACAATGTGTTAATTTATTTTTAATGTACTACCTATTTCTTCTTCAACCATCTATATAAAGTTAATGTTGCATTTATGAGAGTAACATATTTCCAACAATATTATTCATTCATGAATTTTTTTTTTCTTTTCATAGTATTCATTCAGGAATTAGGATACCTAAAAGATACAATTTACTTAAAGGTGTGATTAAATAGAGTAGGTTACAGTTCACGTGTGTATTCTAATAATCAATGCATTTAAGTCATGAATTTCTCAAAAAATGCATAACAATAATAAATTTACACAAATCAACAGTCTAAAAACTTGAATGCAATAAAAATAAAAAGAAAATAACAAAAAAATAAATAATAAATATTTTTGAAAACTAAAATATGAATTATTTCCTTAAATTTCGTAAAAAAAAAATTAAACGATTATGAAAAAAGAAAATAGAGAGTATCATGTTTATTGGAAAGAGACTAAATAGACTATTCTAAAAGATAGGAATCAGCGTGTAGATGAAAGATGGAAAAAGAATATAATATAGCTGATGAGATAGTCCTCTATTCATTCAGCACTTATTATGAGCAATAAAAGAAATTTTCGGCTTTTCGTTAGGCTATCAGCTAACACATTTCCATGTCTCATGTGTGAAGTTGAGTATGCAACCCAAGTAAAGAACAAATATCATTGATTACTCTGTTCTCCACCTTAACAATGTGGCTGAGACCATATGTTAAGGCCGATTGTGATGTCAAAGATGCTTATAGTATGCTGAGACACTGCACCAACATAATAGAGTTTAGAATAACTCCAAAATCATCTACTCAAACGAACAAAAACTACAAAATATAAAGGACACGATTTCTTCTTACCTCCTTGACACCAATGTCACTAAGAGGGAAGCTTAAACTGTCTAGAAAAGATAGAACACAAGTGGAGGTCATAGGCTTCACAACCAACTCATCTGTTGCCATGTACATTGTTGGTCCTTTCACGAGTCCTTTACTTTTTTTTTCTGACACAGACATGGTATCAATGAACTTCGCGGCTGTCCATGTTTTGTAGTAGTATTTCTTTGCATGTTATGAAGCTAAACAAAACATCCACGAATTCTTTCCCTGCCTTGGCAAAGAAAACTTTAGTTTTTTCCTTTGTTCACCATGAGTTTCAAGGTAATAGCAGTACCTTTCTTTTCGGAGTGACCCATTTTTTTTATTTTTTAGTTTCCTTCAACGTAGTACATTTCTTTTGTTATTGAAAAGTTTGTAAAGCGTTTCAACTTTCAAGTATTTATATTGAAAATGTAGAGACACTAAAACTCTGTCTTTAATGAACTATTTGTCTTGAAAATGTGCACTGTGAAGAGAGTTTCAAGGAAAGGGAAGTTAGCAAAGAGAGTTGCACGAGGGATTGGTCAAATAAAGGCTCAACCTCGAGTGTTGTGTCCATTGGCTTTCCAAGTGGTTTTGTAATTTGTATATTGAAACAATTGATGTCGTGAAGACGATTCAAGGAAAGGGAACTGAACAGTTGGGTTATGGAATAAAAAGGAGACTCCCAAGAGAATTTAGAGTCATCAATTTGACCAAAAAAATTATAATTTTTTGTAATGTGTTGTCAAACATATTCTTACTTTAATTAACTAAATGTCTTTTTTTATTTTTATTTCATTTTACAGTTAGATGTTAATATTACTATAAACACTTTAGATTAAGTTAATTAACTTATAAAATGTCAGTTTTATAACTCTTAAATTATTGTTGTAATGAAAACTCTTAAATTATAAATTTCAACAGACTTATAAACCCGTTACATTATATGTATAAAGATTAAATAGGCTGTATAGAAAAAACACAAAATTGACATCTAATATTGGGCTAAACAGATTCTCTTGTCTTGAAGCTTTTAAACTACTCTCGCGATGCACATTTCCTGACTGAACGGTTTCATTATACAAAGTGACTTCAAAATATGGCATGAAATTTACAAAAGAAAAGCATATGGACACAGCATGCGAAGTTGTAATAAAAGGTGAGTCTTATTTAACAAGTTCTTTTTTTTAGTAGTAATTACCTTCGTTACCTTTCCTTTCCTTGAATCTCACCTCACAATGGACATTTCCTTACAAAATGGTTCATTAAAGACACAGTGAAAGTGACTTTACATTTTCAATATAATACTTAGAGGTGAAAAAACAATCTATTTATCTAATCTATCTATAAATAAATTTATCCAATCCATCTATTATACAAAAATAATAATAATAAATTAGATTTAATTTATCTTTCCCTTTTCCTCCAAGAACCAAAAAATTTCCTCGCCATCTCATCATCCCAAATGAAACTTCATTGTGTTAGAATTATTTTCTGATAAAATTTATCAGTCTTTCAATTTTCAACTATCACCACTAATGAAACTTCATTGTACATCAACGATAATCTATGATAGTCTTGTGCTCAAAGCGTCTTGTATTTTAAATAGCACCACACATGCATCAATCATCAATCACTCTATTATTTTCTACAATTCCAAAAATAAAAATAAAAAAGTGTTTTAGTTGTAAAATCCTTTATCCTTGTTATGGATGGAACAATGATAAGGAAACACTTGAGCCGTGTGGCAATGCTACTATGAAAAGGAACACAGTGAGAACATGGGTTCTGTGATGGGAATTACATGTCAGTCACTAATTGACATGTTGCCTCACACACACTTCCCTTCTTCTAAATTCTAGCAGTGATCAATAAGGGTCATCATCATTATCACATTTTCTATTTGATATTCACTGTGTATCCCCAGAGTTTCTCTTGCCTCTAAAAAGCTTTGTCAAATTTGGTATTACCTTCTTTCTCTTCTTAATAGCAAAAGGACTGACATGCCTAGCTGCAGGTGAAGCATTCTTCTGAAACTTTGCTGCCCTTGCAGGAGTTATAGTGCCATTGAGTTTGATGCTCTTTCTAGACATAGCTCTCTGGAAGTTCTTGGATGAACTCTTCTCGCGTTTTCTTGGCCAATTCTCCAACTCCTCACTACTATCTCTTCTTGAATGCAACTTCTCTTTGGTGTAAATCTCCAGCTCTTGCACCAGTTTTGTTTCTTTGAGTTCTCTTTGAGCTATTTTTGTTTCCATCATTATTTCCTTCTCACTGGCCTTGAGAGCTTCAATCCATGCCTCAGCTGCTGCTACTTTCTTGTCAGCAATTTCTTCTGCTGAGGCTGCATGATTTGTTAGATACTCGTACTCAAATTTTGAGATGGTGATCAAGGAACTATGCTGTGCTGTTAAAGCTCTTTCTTTCATGGTAGTCTCAGTGAGAGTTTTCAGTTTCTCTAAGGCTTGAGCTTCGGCTGCTTTGGCTACTTCCAGCTCTTGCATGACACCTTGCAATCTTTCTTCAGTCATGTCCATCTCAAACTCAATTTTTTGAATCTCTTCCTTGGTGGTTGTAACCTCTTGGCTTATATGCTCATTCTCTTTTTTTGCTTCTTCTGTTTCTGTCTTCAGCTTGTCAAGAGTATGAGACAGACTCATGAATATGGATCTGGCCTTTTCCTCTGCAGCAGATACAGCTTCTAGTTTAGTTCTTGCTCTCAAAATCTTGGAGTTGAGGTTTTGAACTGTTGAGTCCACTTTCCCTTCTTTCTTCTTCAAGTTATCTGTCTCAGCAGTGACATGCTTCAGCTCATTTCTTATGACATCCATAGAGGCCATAAACTGAAAACCTTCTTCTCTAACCAAAGCTAATTCTTTCTTTGCTGCCTCCAATTCTTCTATTATAGTCTGTAACATCATGGAGTCTTCTGATTCCTCCCAGTTCCTGAAACTTTCCTCCAATTGCTTCACATTCCCATCTCCTTTAACCCTTTTCTGCATTTCCTTAACTGTCTTCAACTCATTTTGCAAGAGATTAACATCTGATATTGTCACAGCTAATTTCATTTCAAGCTCCTTTGAGTCGTCAATCTCTTTAATAGCATCCTTCAACTTTCCCCTTGTGCCTTCCAATTTGAATGAAAGTTCATTAGCTTCCCGTTCTCTCTGAGCTTCAATATCTGCCAATTCTTTCAAAGCCTCAATCCTGGCGAGTTCAGCAAGTACTTGCTCTTCATTGGCTTCCTCGATCTCCTTTTTAAGTACTTCTGCAGTTGCTAAACATGAGAGCATCTTTGAGTTTGATGCTTCAATTTCCTTATCTGCCTGGGATTTCTCTTTCATCACAGAAGCCACATCAAGCTTAAGCTTGAACAATTCCTTTTTGAGATACTCCAACTCTCTCATGACTTGTGCATACTCATAATTCTCATTCCTCTTTGCAACAACCATTGCCCCATGTTGACCCTTCCCCCACTTCTCTAGTCCTTCTACATCTCTCATTTGTGTTTTTGCCTTGTTGCTGGACTCCTCAATCATAGAAGAAAGATTTTTCACCATCTTCTTCGCATTTGAAAGCTCGGATTCTGCTTGAGCTTTTGCAGATTCTGCAGCCCATCTGGTCTCTTTGTACCTTCCAATATCCCTTCTTGCTCTGTGGAGTTCCCTTGTTCTTGAAGAGGGCTTCTGAGGATCATGTTAGGAGAAAAAGACAGAAAAATTTAATATAAGAATGCAAAAATTGTGCACAAACTGCAAATACATAAAGAGGGTTAACTTCTATTCTTTGAAGGTGAACATACCAATGAGAAATCCATCTGGGTTTTCTTCAATGAAGGACCATCAATATCAGCAACCTTATCATCATAGAAGTTAACTGCAGCTTTAACTGATCCAATCCTTCTTCTGCTACCAAGCTCTGCACCATCCATCTGGTTTTGCCAAGATATTAACAAATGCTGCCAATACTATAAGCTTAATTCAGATAAAGCATAACTGTTCATTTTTTTGTTTATCCTAAGATAGCATCACCTTGTATTATCCGTTTCAATTAAACAAACACTGATATGAAACAAATTCTTTCTGTTACCTGAACTAGTCACTCACTATGTGACATCTAAACAGTGATATAGGAAAACATCAGAAAGGAAGGAAATACATACCTAAGACTGTGCTTGATGGTTGGTTAGCAGAAAAATTAAAAAGTGAAGCTAAAGTTGTGGTTGAGAGTTCTATGCTTAAATGGCCAAAACAAGAACGTGTGTAACAAGAAGAGGGAGGGAGTATTGATGACTGGCTGGTATTGGAATTGGACACATCGCTTCTTGTCCCTTTTCTTATTTCTTTATAGATTTTTTTCCTTACATTTTCAGGTCCCAATTTTTTGTTCTTCAAATATTTCTTGGGACCACATACTTTTCATTTTCACTTCTTTGTCTGATTCATAGTTACCTTCCTAGCTGGTAAAAAAATTTAAAATGTGCTCTCTAATGTTTTCTAGTAAAACATTTTTCTGCTACCATTTGAGATTTGTCATTCAACGTTAGCGCGATTAATTCAATTTGAATATTTTTATGCACACTCTCAATTTTAGATTAATCTGTAAAATCTTGAACTATTTGAATTTTTTAAAAAAAGTTCTTCTAATATAAAAGTTTGAAATAAGTTTATAAAGTTACAAAACCGCATTGAAGGTGAACGAAACGACAATCCACAAAAAAACAGTGTTTTTGTCATGGCTCTAGCTCTTTCTTGTTTCAATCTGTCACATGTTTTAAAGTCATCCCTAACTAGTAAGTATAAAGTAAGGAATAGCTTTGCCACAATAAATCTTTGGTCCAAGTATCGGCCACATCTTCAAATCCAAAACCATCAAAACTGCGTCTCCTACATGTAGTGCGTGTTTGTATGCGCATTGCATTCCAAAAACGCGATTCTTCTCTCTGGATGTATGTTTGGATTTTTCTTCTTCACACAATTTTATAGATAAAAATTAATTTTGGCTAAGCTGGTAAAGATTGTTTCTACATGGAGAAAATTAATTTTAAAAAATTAATTCTCCAAACACAAATCTAAATACGCATGTAACCACCAACTGGCTAAATATTAATATTTAATTAACTGTGACCTGTCCCAACCAAATTGTGGAAAGTATATATCATTATTTTAAATATATATTGATAAGAAAACAATAATATATCATTATTTAATAACTTAATCTATATGGTGTAAAAAAATAACTAATTCTATATAAATTATACCGACTAAGTATGTTAACATCATTCTCCAGCTGCTAAAGGAGAATATTAAAGAATTTTAGGTGGTTTAGATAATTAAAAATGTGAATAACCAATTTTATTTGTTATTATTTCTGAAAATATATAAAAGAAAATTAAAATATAAAAATAAAAGAAGATAAATGGAAATAATGTGAAGATTTGATCGTTAAAAGATAAATCACTAATAGTCGAAAAAAAAAAGGTTATGAAATAAGGTTACTTAGTTAAAAGGGAAGAAATGATTAAATAGTGGAGGATGGATTATAAATTAATATCAGCTATAAAATGGGTCTATAAGTAAAGTTTAGTAAAGGGAAACAATTTTTTAAGCTTCCATGATTTTAAAAACATGAACATAGAAAAGTTGATCAAATCGTCTTCACACTCATCTTCCTTGCAAAAGAGAATTTTATTATTCAATTCACTATTGTCAAATTGTTTGATTGTACTACTACCTCACACATCACATTACTTAAGCGTATTATCAAATTTGTTTTTTACTTTTTATATTAAGTTTCATTCACGTTCTATTCTTATATGTTTAATTTTTTCCCTTATTAATATACTTTAATTTTTTTAACTACATATGGCGTATTATTTTGCTTTTGTCACTTGTTTTTATAGTATAAAATGTGATATTCAAAGTTTTTAAAAAGCTTTAATTTGTCTTTTTTTTTCTTTTTCAACAAATGTTTTCACCTTTTGATAGTTTAACTTTTCCCTTTCTTTTGACATGAGAATTAAAGAGGTGTAAATCAAAGAATGTAAGTTTGTATTGTTAATAAATTATTATATATAATAAAAATAATAAAATTAAAATCTTGAACTTTTATCCTTCATGTTAATATTGTCACTGTTGTTATAGTTCTAATCTTCAAATCCATAACAACAAAAACATTGTCATTATTGTTGTGATTCTAATCTTCTAATATTTTAATATTTTTTATTATAGACTGAAATTTATTAAAAATATATAAAATAAATAAATTTTAACGAGTTTTCTTATGATTTTCAATTTATAACAGAAAATATTAAAAATAAGTATTAGAAAAAGCAGAGTTGACAAATGAATAAGTACAACTCATATTCTTTGATTATTTACTTTTGAGCAATGATATATGTTTCAAAATCGTATTCTGAATCCGAACATTAAAATATTAATATTTTTTAATAAATTTATTATAAAATAATTATTTAATTTAATATTTTATAATTTAAATTATTATTTTAATCATTTGGAATGATTTTCGACGGAGGTTCTATCATTTGTTTTTAAATTTTTTTTGCCTTATTTTACCTACTAACCTATTTTATTTTCATTTAAATTTTATAAAGAAATAAATAATATAGGGTCAAATTCCTCTAGTAAGTTTCAGACCTAAAAGTTTGGGTTCCGAATCTTTTAGATCTCTATTTTAGGAGCCTATCCTAAACTAGCCATTTGGGTCTAACTATTTTTTATTGCTTTATTTGGAAGAGTAATATAATGATAAAAAGGACAAAATAGTTGAAAAAAGTGAGAGAGAAGAAAACTAAATTTATTGAATAATAAAAAATAAATAAAAAAACCATCCTATGGTGAGAAACATCCACAAGTATTCCATGGTGGAAAAGAAAATATGACCATTAAATGTATTATTTTTTAATCAATGGCAGAGTTTTTATCCTCTATAAGAGAGAAGAGAAAGCTAAAGTTTATTAATGAAAAAAAATTGTATTACATAATGAAAATATCATCTATAAGAAATACTATATGAAAATTTTAAATTCTTATATTAAACTTTGAAATGAGAATAATTTAAAAAATATATATATATTTCACGGTGAAATTGACCCTAAAAAAAGGTAAAAATGAAAAGGTTTTACTGGTTGGAGCACGGGAGAGGATGGTATAAAAGAAAAAAGAAAATGAATGAAAGATGTGAGATGTCACCTAAGTACTAAGTAGGTAGCATATAGTTGAAAGTTGAAACGACGATCCGACTGAATCTTGTCTTCAATGGCCTAAGTCCTCAGATCAGAAAGTTGAGAGAGGTTTTTGAAGAAAAGAGAAATGGACGTGGAGAGATCGTCGCTGTGCAATTGCGTGGTCAACTTTCTGTTGGAGGAGAACTACCTTCTCACCGCGTTCGAGCTTCTTCACGAGCTTCTCGACGATGGCCGCGACGACCAGGCCATTCGCCTCAAGCAATACTTCTCCGATCCCTCCCTCTTCCCTCCCGATCTCATCTCTCGCCTCAACTCTCTCCGAGGTAATTCCCTCTCCCTCCTATTTCCTCTAAATCAATTCACACTCCTTCACTCTTCCATTTTGCAGCTCGTTCTGTTGCTTGTAATTGTAACTCTATGAATTATGCTTATACTAGTCAATGATAAGTTTTCTGTGCATTATGCAGAGAGATTTTTTTAATTAAGTTTCAATAATAGAATTTGTCTTTAAAATTGAAAATAATGATATGCAGCATGGTTCATTAGAAGAGAATTTCAATTTGGAATGGAAGGATGAAAAATAGTAGTTAAGACTTGACACTTGAGAGTGGCGAGGGGCTTTTTTTTTATAGGGAGATTAGACTCAGAAATTAAGCCATTCTCAGGTACATGTATATATGCACTCTAATTTAATACGTAATGTTGGATATGACATTTAAATATAGGTTAAAAACGAATATATATCAACTATACTGGGTCCTTTCATGCAACATACGCTTTTGGTTTCGTTTATATTGACATTGGTGAGAATACCTTTATAAGAAATATCAAAGTGCAAGGTGGTTTGGTTTAGAAGGGATACATGTTGTATACTAAGCTCGATATACTCTCTTTTTCATTTTCATTTTTGCAATGCAGTGGCGGATCCTCAAACTTTGCTAGAAGAGAAAGAAGCAGCAGAAGAAAAGTTAGCTATTAGTGATTATGAATTGCGTTTGGCTCAAGAAGACATCTTAAAACTCAAGAGTGAATTGCAGAAGAAGGCAGAAAACCTTAATGAAATAAATGGTAATTTTCTTGTTTTTCAAGATATTTTGATCTCAATATCTTTCTTGTCTTTTGTGTTATCAGTTTGGTCTTCAATGTCATACATTTTTTTGTGTTATCGGTTTGGCCTTCAATGTCATACATTTTTTCACATTGATATGTATATGTTTATATTGAAGGCCTTTGCTTATGGTAGTATTTTGGCTTTTTGCCATCTGCCATTAATAACATGATCCTGGAATGTTGAGACTATTGAAGGAAATTACTTAAAAAATTGTCTTCAAATTGTGTAAGAAATACATTCAAAAGGTTTTGACATATGACTTGTGGAACACATAACAATGTGTTGGTGCAAAAGAACAAATGAAATGATCATTGGGCTGAGTGACTTGCAGTTCCCCTATATGTATTCTTAGAATTTGGGCTTAGGGTTTAACTCAAGCCAAAAAAAATTGACTTATAACATGAGGACTTCCTAAGCAGTATAAGGACTACATTGGTTATATCTCTAATCAATGTGGAGATCCCAACACCTCCCCTCACACCTAATATTGGACATTTGGAGTATGAACAAATGTGGGGGACCCAATAACGAATCTAAGATAGGGTCAGATACTATCTTAGGATTTGGACTTAGGGTCTAATTCAACCCCACAACCGGTTTGCAAGATGAGAACTGTTCAAGCATCATAAGACCGCATTGGCCATTTGTAGTCAATGTGAGATCTCAACATGTATATGTATTGCAAATGATACTGCTACAATGGCATCACTGAGTGCCATTTCTGGTTTAATGACTTAATCTTGCTTAATATATTCTCAAAATCAAAATGGTTTTCAGAATCAAACTCATTTAATATTTATAGTTTGTTGACTACCTACCACTAATTTTTAGCTTATAATGCAATTTGGCTTTGTTGGAGGATGTCTTACATGCTCTGCTCCTGTACTTCTTTCTCTCTCCTCTTTTGAAAATTATTGTTTTATGTTAAAAATTAATACAGCTTCTGTTTTTTGATGTAGCTGCACAGATAAGTGGACATGTTTCGGTGAATGATGGGCAGCAAATTAAACAACAAAAGAAGAGTACTTCCTTCACTGATTTGGGTCCATTAAAAGAAACTGAGCGTCGAGATCTTAACTGTGCTGTAAAGGAATATTTGCTTATAGCTGGTTACCGTCTTACTGCAATGACGTTTTATGAAGAGGTTCTGTATTGGCTTTTCCCCACTTTTCCACCCCCTCTTTCTATGATTTTATGATTTTTGGGAGGGTAGGGTTAGACTTTTGTACATTTTAAGAAACTGATACCTACATTCTTGTTTGAAATGGACTTTGCTTCATTTCTTTCAGTTTTGGATTTTTTGTCCTCTTCTGATTTGCAATTGGGAAATAAAGTAGTTACACTGGCAGTGTGTTAAGTAGCTTAATGTATGGAGCATGGTCCACTCAAATATAAAGAAGTCATACATGGAATATATGGATGAAGTTATGATATTTTACTTTTTGTTTTGGGAGTGGGATGATGGGTCTTGGATAGTATTATTAAATCAACAATAAGGTGAGGCAGGTTTTAGGGCTATCACCTCAGATAGTCTGAGGGGCCTCATGTCGAGGAGGCAGCCATGGAATACTATCTTATACTTGAGGTGGGATGAGGCACTAGGAATTGGTCTCAGTCACATCATGAATTAAAATGATGCTTCTACATAAACTTCTTCACTCTTAAATTTTAACCAGTTGGGTATTAAAATAAGAGGGGAACAGTCTTATCCAATTGCTATGTAAGGGAAAATGAAGAAGCACAAAGTTACTCCACTTGGCTCTTTCTTTTTATCGAGAACTTTTCATACTGATACAGCTAGTTAGATGAAAATCAGGTTGCAATTTCGTTGGTATTTATGGGGTCTGTTTTGTATTCCTACGGTTCTTTCTGTTTTATTTTCTTTTACTTTAAGATAAAATATTTTCCTCATGTTTCCTTTTCGCTAAATGTCCTGCTTTATATGTGCTCTTTCCCCTCAAGAAACAAATAATGAAACTAAAGGAGGTTTCTATGTTTTTTTATTTATTTTCCTTCAAGATTTGTTCAACAATCATCCAACAGTTAATGTTACTGCCAACAAAGTAGTGTGTCACAGAAGTCAAAATTATAACTTATGAGGACTTAATAGCAAAGGAGAGGAGACTCTGAATAATAATATTGGATTGATATTATGTGTCTGTGGTATATGTACAAACAACTTGTTGAATTTACAGAGGGGGAGAAGGAGAAAGATAGAACAAAATGTTTTTGAGAGAATTCAGAATGAGAATGCTTTCTTATGCGAGAGAAGGTAGTACATGGGTTACACAAGACATCCATATATATATATATATATAGAATCTTAATAGACTTCTCAGAGACTATTTCCCAGGCTAATATTAATTAAGTGAAAATTCCTAGACAATAATGCCCATAAACACTAAATGCATTCCATACTATTTCCCAAGTATATTTACTACTCCCTTCAATTTTTGTTATAAGGCACAATTTAAAAAGAATTGGTGGCCCTTTTGTTATAAGACACTTTTATAATTTTTATAAAGCATTAATTATATTTTTCATTTTTTGCCTCTATTAAAGATTGTGAGAGTATGAGTTTCTCCCTCTCACCTCTTAAACTCTCCAATTGTCATTTATCATTTTTATTGGTATTAGTGCATAAACTTTTATTTAGAATATTATCTTTACCTCTCTCTCATGGAAAGTTAATAATAATTAAGAAGGATAAAATTGATAAATGTGATTTTGTTTTATAAAACCAATAAAATTAACTAACATAAATACCTAGAGAAATGCTTGGGATACACCTGCTGACACACTCTTTTGAATACACTTTTTTCTAATTGGTTGAAATTTATTGGAAAATACAAAATTTGGTGAGTCTCATATCCTATTAAATGATTATTTCCTTTGATTTTGTGATATTCAATAGATTCTAACCAATAAGAGAGAATATATTAAGAAGAGTGTGTTGTTAGCACTTTTCTAACTGCTGATATTGGTTTGTGTGATTTGGTTAGAAGTGCCTTATAATAAGAACCGTGGTGAGTATTATTATTCCCGAAAGGACTCAATACATTCATAACCCTAATGTTCTAGTGATAACTAATGGTTCAATAGGTTCACCAAACTAGTCAAATAAAAAACTAGATGCTTCATATGATTTTGGTTGCTGTATTTTGTTTTTATTTTTTATGAGGAAGTAGTTTTAATATGGAAATAAAAAACCAGATGTTTAATATGGATTTTAGGCTGGTAATTGCATGGGGATTGGGGAGGGGCATGCTGCTGTTTTGGTGGAATCTTCTGCTATTGCCTGGGCTGAGATTATTTTCTCTGAGGAGCCATTGGCTCTGGAGGATAAATTCTGTATACATTCATTGTAAAGGCTCTGTGAAGCTTCATTTTCTTATTCAATAGTACTAAATATACCAGTATTCTGTTTCTGGTGTCCTAACACAGTGACAGATTTGTGATGGTTCTTGTGTTTGTAAAACATCCGAAATGCTGTCAAATCCTGTGGTGGACATGTTTGTATAATGTCAGCATGCCACATTTTGTTGGCATGGCCATTCTTGTGTTTACTTTTAGCACTGTTTTGATCTGCTACAACTGTTCCTGTAGGTTACAGACCAGAACTTGGACACTTGGCACAACACACCTGCATCTGTACCTGATGCCTTACGTCATTATTATTATCAGTATCTTTCATCAACTTCAGAGGCTGCCGAGGTGTTTTTTTATTTTGATTGTATAAGCATTTTTCTCATTGTATACTTTTTAAATATTGCTGAGATTGTACATTTGTACTCGAGTAAGAAAGGTGCTGATAAATTGTCTTCACTATATTTTTTACTGCTTTGCCTCACCTGACTTTTTATTCTTAAGCTTACCGTTTTGTAGGTTTTATATTTTGTACTATGCATTCATAGGTTTTATATGTGTTTTTTCGTCAGATATTATTACAGTAGTTTCTGCTGATGATTGATGTTAAAGTCATAGAATTGGTATTAGTTTATAGGCTTATCTAATTAGGTTAAAATTAGTATATAGGATGGGCTTGTGTTTACAACCTGTGTACTTAATCTTGTTGATGATCAGGCTGAGTTTTAAAACTAAAATCCACCTTTCTGAAACCTGTCGTTAATATATGCTATTTGTCATGAACCAACTATCCCAACAGCTGTTAGGCCTTCAAAGGCACATCAATGGTTTTTATATTATGTGTAACATTATTTGATTGGGAGTAACTGTTCAGCTAACTATTTGATCGCTTTTCAAGTGAATTGGTCAGTCAATTTGGGTTTTAAAACTACGACTGGAACAGATTTGAAAATGTTTTATGGCATTATCTTCAGATCTTTCTGTAATGTTAATAGGAACTGAATTTACTGTGGATTAATAGAAAAAAATACTCAGAGAACAGTGCTCTGATTACAAGGCTAATATGCATATAGCAATAAATAATGAAAGACAAACAAATCAGAGCAGAAAACTCCTCTGCCCACAGCCACCCAAAACTAGCCAAAATGATTCCTCTGTCTCATTTCTCTCTTCTTCCCTTATTCCCCACAGCCACTAACTTTACCAACACACTTCTTGCACCTGTTGCCACATCTGCAAGTTTGTTATAGCCAAAGTCAATACTATTTTTGCCTTTTACCCATATAGGAGTGCCTAACAGATGTGCTCTTTGGTAGTCACTTTTCTCGTAAAATTGTTTCTGTTCTTAGTATGTGAAACTTCTTTTCTTTATATTTTGAAGGCATTGGTTGTTCTGAATTGATTTTTAGTTGTTCTTTCGGAGATTTAGGTAAATATTTTTACCAAATTAATCCTATAATGTTCATTCCAAATTATGGTTTCTGGCTTTCTGCTGAATCACGCATGAATTCTAATGCAGGAAAAATTTTCCCTACTTAGAGAAAACGAAACGTTGCTGAATGCAAATAAGAGGCTGAATCAAGAAAAAGGGAATTTGTTGAAGAACAAAGATTTGGCAGATGCTCAAATAGTAACATTAACCAAATCCTTGGATGCAATGCAGAGAGATCTTAAAGACAAAGAAAACATGGTAATTCCTTTGTATGTTTAAAAGATGCTGACAAACAATATCCATATTTCAATTTATGATATACTAATTTAACTTTCAGGTGCAAGTTTTGAAGCAATCCTTGGAGCACCAAAGAAAGGAGATCAATGACTGCAGATCTGAGATCACTTCCCTGAAAATGCATATTGAAGGGTCTCACTTGGGAAATAATCTGGTTGTCAGTGATGTTAATAATGTTCAATCTGAATCTCTGGAGAAGTATAAGGAAGAAATTAAGAAATTGCAGATGGAAAATGAATTTTTGAAGGAAAAGAATACAAGAGCTCCTGAACCTGGAAATTTTGCTGGTTCTGAAAATGAAAATTTACAGACAGATGATAAAGTGATTGAGATTCATGAAGACAGAGGTGTAATCTCTGACTCTGTTGATGTGGATTTGGGTGTTGTTCAAAGTGAATCTGCCCAATCTCCAGTTGTTCAAACAATTAATCAAGATGCTGATAAACATGAGGATGCATTGCCTGAGTTATTCAATCCTGCAAATACAAATAGTGCTTTTGAAAATATTGAAAACATCTCTGAACAAAATGTTGGGCAACAGGCAGAGGATAGCAGTTTACTTGTAAAATCAGACAATGTGAATGATGAAGAAATATCTGAGCCGGCAAGTTCATTTTACACTTGGCTTGAGGAAATCCATAAACATCGTTACTTATTGGTTTCATATTACTTACTTTTTTGAATTAGTGAGACTGAATAAATGATACCAGTTGTAGTCAGGATTTATTCTTGTGTTAAAAACAGTGAACTAGAGGTACTGTTGCTGGTCTCAATTGCCAGTAATATAGTGCATCTGAAAATTATAAAGATAAAAAATCTCTCCCATATTTATTCAAAAGAAATGAGGAAGAGTCGGAATGACTAGATTTTAACAAGTGATATGTCTTTGTCTACACCATAGTGTAATTATGTTCTTTTATTCTTATTTATGTTTATATTTTAACAGGGGTTAGGAACCATTCAGATACTTGCAGATGCTTTGCCAAAAATTGTTCCTTATGTCTTGATCAACCATCGAGAGGTTTGCTTCTCAATAAATGTATTTCACTTGTTCACTGTCCTATATTGGCTGCATCTGTTTTGTTTGGTTGCAGGAGCTCCTTCCCCTAATAATGTGTGCAATTGAGCGCCACCCAGATAGTAGCACTCGAGATTATTTGACCCACACATTGTTTAATTTAATAAAGCGTCCTGATGAACAACAGAGGCGAATAATAATGGATGTATGTCATATTTTCTGAACTTTTTCTTATGAATGGTTTGAAGTGCAACTTTTAATTTCTCTTTTGTCATTTCAGGCATGTGTCAGCCTTGCAAAGAATGTTGGAGAGATGAGAACAGAAACAGAATTGCTTCCGCAGTGTTGGGAACAAGTATATTCTTGCCTCAATTTTCAACATACTCTTTGCCATGCTGATTTTGGAACCAGGTTTTCAGTTTGTTAAATGTTTTTGTTTTTAGATCAGTCACATGTACGAGGAGCGTAGACTGCTAGTGGCTCAATCATGTGGAGAGCTTGCAGATTTTGTACGGCCTGAGATTCGCGATTCTCTTATTTTATCTATCGTGCAGCAACTAATAGAAGATTCTGCCAGTGTTGTTCGAGAGGCTGCTTCTCGTAATCTGGCAATGCTGCTTCCACTTTTCCCAAACATGGATAAATATTTCAAGGTCAGCCTCACTATATTTGCTTCGAGGCAATCATGGAGAAGGTTTCTGACTTGAGACTTGGCTACAATGTAAGCTCTAGAACAGGTTGACGAAACATGGTCTAGGGAATGGAGCCTTTTACCTTACCATAATATGACAGCATTTTTTTTAGAAGAATAATAATAAAGATTAAGAGTTGCTCCAAGTATTTGTTTTTTCTGTTGTTAGGTGGAGGATATAATGTTCCAATTGGTATGTGACACATCAGGAGTGGTGGTGGAAACAACTCTCAAGGAATTGGTTCCTGCAGTTATGAAGTGGGGGAACAAATTAGATCATGTTTTGAGAGTTTTGCTTTCTCACGTTATAAGCTCTGCCCTGGTATTTGTTTGTCTTTGTGCTGTCACTACTCCCTCGTGACTGAGAATTTCATTATTGACGGATATTGTTTTCTAAGTTGAAATTCTTGCCCCAATCTGCAGCGTTGTCCACCCCTTTCTGGGGTTGAAGGATCTGTTGAGTCAAATCTCCGTGTCTTGGGTGAAAGAGAGCGCTGGAATATAGATGTTCTGTTGAGAATGCTGGCGGAATTGCTTTGTATGGTGCACCAGAAAGTAATTGAGACATGCCCCTTTTCATCCACTACAGAAACTACCCAAGCTGCGTTATCCACTGCTTTGCTCGAGTTGTATGCTAGGTAAGCTTAGCAAGAATGGTATATGTTGCAAGTCTATATGCGTCCTGTCAGACATGCATAGCACATTTACATGTGCTGCTGAAGGACAAACTGTGTATGACCGCACTTTCATTGCTGTTACTGATCTTTAATGGTTTCCATTTTTGTTAGGGGGCAAGTTGCATGGGATGCCTTTGAATGGATGCATGTTGAGTGCTTTCCTAATTTGATACAGCTGGCTTGCTTGTTACCTCAGAAAGAAGATAATTTACGTAGTCGCATTTCAAAGGTCACTTGCCTATCTTTTGAAGATTTTTATTTTATTATTTTATAATGACTTTTGATCAAAGTTTGATCATAGTTATGTCTGAGCTTTTGCTGACATTACTCACTTAAATGCAGTTTCTGTTATCTGTTTCTGAAAGTTTTGGGGATTCCTACGTGAGATGCATAATGCTTCCAGTATTTTTAATAGCAGTTGGGGATGACGCTGATTTGACATTTTTTCCTACATCTATCCATTCAAAAATTAAAGGTATTTGATTCTTCAATATTTCTGCGATTTTTCACACAATTATTTTGTATTTGACTTTTCACTTGTAGGTTTGAGACCAAGGTCTGCTGTTGCTGATAGGCTCTCTACCATGGGTGTCCTTCCGCTTCTATTGGCTGGGGTTTTGAGTGCTCCAGGAAAACATGATCAGTTAGCAGAATATTTGAGGAAGCTGCTACTAGAAGACAATTCCATGCAGAAACCGTCAACCAAGCACACTCCTGAAATTATTAATGCTATTCGCTTCCTTTGGTATGATCAGCATTTAAGCACCATAAACATTCTTAAAATTTATTATATTTTTCTCCAATATTTATTATGATCATTCTTTGTAATGCAGCATACATGAAGAAAACCATGCTATGATAGTTAATATACTATGGGAAATGGTTGTCAGCTCTAATGCGAGCATGAAAATAAATGCCGCTAAGCTTCTGAAAGTTATTGTAAGCTGTTGTTTCCTTAGTTCCTGCTTATCTCATACAAATGACAAAACTAACACAGCTGTATTCATTAATAGGTGCCATACATTGATGCAAAGGTTGCTTCAACTCATGTTTTGCCTGCCCTAGTTACTCTTGGATCTGATCAAAACCTGAATGTAAAGTATGCCAGCATAGATGCATTTGGTGCTGTGGCTCAACACTTCAAAAATGAGATGGTATCATTAATGTTTCTCCCTGATTTCTGATTAAATTATGATTTTAATGCAGGTCCTAATTTTGAATCGCTGATGAAATAAAATATCTTACAGATTGTTGACAAGATACGTGTTCAAATGGATGCTTTTCTTGAAGATGGTTCCCATGAAGCTACTATTGCTGTTATTCGTGCATTGGTGGTTGCAGTACCACATACAACTGAAAGACTTAGAGATTATATCCTTAACCTTGTTGTGAAAAAAATATGTTTCGAAAAGTGCTTAATGTCATAACCATTTTTGTCATAGTTACTTGTATTTTGTTGGCTTCAAGATCTCTGAAATTTTTCTGTTCGTTTCTTTAACTTGACATACATCTTTTGTCCAAGATTTCTCAGCTTACAGCTACGCCAAATTCAGCAAGTGATTTGATGCGTCGACGAGAGCGAGCGAATGCATTTTGTGAGGCAATCCGTGCTCTGGATGCTACAGGTTTACTCATTTAAAAATTAGATAATTGTAACTTTATTTATTATATTTACTTAAAACATTATAATCTTTTATATATATACACACCTAATTTCAATTTTCAAGAATCATTTTAAATGGCGACTAAAGATTTTCTTCAAAGAAATCTATCATTTTCTACCAGTAGCATTTTGTAAAAGTCTAGCCTGAACTCTGGGTTTTAAATTTGGTTTGTTTAAATGAGTCAAAGCTTAAGCAACCTTGTTTTTCTACTAGTCAATCCAAAACTTCTAGTACTCGTTTTTAACTCGACTCATTTACACTCTTAAGCCAAGTCTAAAATTTCAAGATGGTATGTAAAAGTCATAATTTACTTGTTTTAATTTTCCATGGAGAATTTGTTTTCCTGATTTTTTACATTTGTTTTTTCTTCTCTTGTAGATCTTCCTGCAAATAGTGTTCGGGACTACTTCCTGCCTGCTATACAAAATCTCTTGAAGGACTTGGATGCATTGGATCCAGCACATAAAGAAGCCCTTGAAATTATTATGAAGGAAAGATCAGGAGGAACTTTTGAGACTATTAGTAAGGTGATGGGTGCTCATATTGGCCTTCCTTCATCCGTCACAAGCTTCTTTGGTGAGGGTGGGTTGCTTGGAAAGAAAGAATCCACAGAGCCAACATCAGAAGCAACTGTGTCTCCCAAAGCTGCTACACCCTCGCCAGCAGAAGACACTAGATTCAAGCGGATCATGATGGGAAATTTTAGCGAGATGCTTCGTGGCAAAGCAAAAACCCAAGAGGAAGGTCACCACCAATAACATGCATTTCTGCATGGTAATATTTTGCCCGTTCTGATCCTTCTGATGATGATGGTCACTGTGGTTTCCCATATATAACAGAAACGGAGACTTGTACAATTAGGTGAGGTTGGCCACTGTTGTTTCCCAAATATCATACATTTTTTATAAAACATTTTTACAGTGATTTTTCTGAGATAGGAGATGAAAATATAGATAAATGTTTTATTTCAGTTTCTTCATATATTTTGCTGTGTATCATCTATTATTATCTATTAGGCCTTGTGTCGGGGACAGGAAATATTTGAAAGAAGAGCACGGTAGAATCTGTGAATTGTTCAATGAATTATTGAATGCTTTATATTTGGGACTGTATTGACATTTTATGTTTAGAAACACCCAACTGGGGAATCGAGCGTTTTGGTTTGGACAACTGTTACTACTTTCTTATTTGGAAAGAGCGTGAACAGTCGGTAGTCGGTCTAAAAGGGGTACGATTGACTACTTTTTTTGCTTTTCATTTTAAATTGGTCACTTTTATCCATAAATAAGACACTTTTTAAAACTACTAGGTCTCCTTAATAAATAAGATGCTTAAATGCATTTTTATTTTAAGTAATAATTTTAATTTCTCAAATTTTAATTGAGCGGTTTTAATTTCTTAGATATTGTAATTATTCAATTTTGATCTCTTAATTTTTAGTTGAGTAATTTTAGTTTTTAGAAATAAATATGAATTAGTTTTAAAAAAAGTTGAATAGATATGTGTAGTGTAAAATATTTTATATTATCAAACAAATAAATAATTATTATTAGTATAATATTTAAGGTAATTATTATAAAAAAAATAAATTTATTATTTGATGTAAAGAAAATACTATTATTTATTCATTAAATAAAACAAAATCATGTAAACTCCAATTTAGTTTGAACAACTGAATTTGGGTTATATAAGACATGCTGGATAGATTGGAATTTCAAAGAAAAAAAATACTTAATCCGCAATTTATTAATTTAATGAACGAAAAGATACATGAGCAACAAGTTATTGTCTAATTTGCGTTCATGCGAAATAAAATTTATGTATTAAATTTTGATACATTGATAAAGTAAAATTTTTTAGCCTATTATTTACTGATTTATTGTCATATTATTGAAATCGTTTAACTTGCAATTGTAGTTTTTTTAAACTAAAATAGTTTATTATTTACAAGTTGTTTTGCATCTCAATCTAACAATTAAATTATAGCTATTTGCTCATGATAATGATTCAAATTTTAATTCAAATTTATACTTATCTATTAGACGAGTTTAATACATTCTATAATCATTAAAATTATATCAATAGTCCTTACGATAAGTAAAATTTCCTAAACCAAACTAAAAACCATTAAAATTATTGATTATTAAATAAACGATAATCGATTAACAATTAATTGAATGGTAATATTTGTTTAAAAATATTCAATACATCTTTGATTTTCAATTTGGTAATTATAAAAGTGTCATTTTGAATCTATTATGTTATATATATATATATATATATATATATAATAAGCTAAAAATAAAAAATATAATAATAATAATAATAATAATAAGATCATTTATATTTAAAGTAGATTTATTGAAAAATATTATATTTATTTATTTAAAAACTATATAACTATGATTAAAAAAATTGCTTATATAATAATAATATATTTATTTTTAAACAAAAACTACTTATAATATATATATATATATATATATATTTATTTATTTATTTATTTATTTATTTATAATAAAATAATAATAAAAAACTATAGTTATTTATGTGTAGATTGTTTGTATCAAATTTTATAAAAATTGACCAACAATAAAAATACAAATAAAATGATTTTCATTTTCACTTATTTTAAAATACATACAACATTATAATTTTGATGTATATTAAGGTAATATTAGATTCAAATTTTATAAATATGATTTATAAATACGATAAATTTTAACTTAACGGTTAGTTTTGTAAATTAATTTTTTAATTTAAATTATTGATAGTACAAGAACAATTAATTTTTCTTCCTACAATAACTATATATTATGATTGCTACAAGCGCTGTAGTTAGGGATGACAAAAATATCTGCACCCCGGGTATTTGTGGGTAAAATCCACTACAGATAATAAATGAATAGACTAATTAGGTACCCGCAGATAATGGGGACGGATAATTTTTTACCCGTTTATAAATGGGGCGGGGGCGGGTATGATGATATTCATACCCGCGGCTACCCGTTTAATAATATTTCTTAAATATCCTAATTATCTTTGTATCACCTAACCCTAAAATTACACTCTCTCTACTTATTTTCTTACAAAAGTGAGGTTGAAGTTACCAACGTGTTAAACATGTTATATAATTATGTTGGATGTAATTTGATTAATTTTCTAGCTTTGATTGAACCAATAAATTTTGATGTATTTTAAGTTGTTTACTTTCGTTTGAAATTATGAGATTGAATTATTGTAGTTTTGTGACGAGACTTTAACTTACTTGTGAGATTGATATATTTTAAATTATTGATTATCTTTTATTCACGGATGTCCGTGAGTATTCAATAAATTTATGAATACCCACTTAATGATACCCGCGCAGATATGGAATAGGTACAAGGTCAACTTTTATCTAGCGGAGCAGAGACAAGTTTACTATTACCCGTCCTATGGAGTCTCGTTGCCATCCCTACATGTAGTACATGGTATGATAGACGTAGACATGTGCGTGCATCTGCATCTATACATTGTAATGATTAATTCGTTCTACACTTCTCCAGATACAAGGTTGCCTAGTCTTGACAACAACAGCTAACAGCTAACAGCTAACAGCTTCTGCCTCCATACTTCTTCACCTTATAAATACACATTTATTAAATTCAATTTTTTTTAGAGTTATTCAATTTCTTAGTTTATTCTTTTTATTTTTTTAATTTGATAAATTACCTTACCTTGCCTTATATTATATACCTGGTAAATACACGAGTGAAGCTTTTTGTAAGCATGGTTTTTCTAACCTGATGAGTGGATCTTTTTATTTTATTTTTCTAAAATATCATCAACATCTTCCTTTGTGTAGTTTAGTTAAGAAGCAGTTAAATATGCCATATTAATAGTTTTTTTAATTAATTTATATTTGAAAATGATTTTTTCTTCATGCATGGAAGATATATATTTTCACTTAATTTTTATATAACTTTATAATTAGCAAAAATATTATTTTGTTATAGAAATGACTTTTTGTTATCCATATATATGTTTTTCCTGCACATGAATATACGTTCCGTAATGCAAAACAAGGAGAGAAAAAAAAAACTTCATATATGCTATTTATTAAAAAAAAATAAAAATAACGTTTATAAAATATTAAAAATTCAATATTCGACGAGTCTTGTCGAATTGTCGATAAATAATGATAATCGAAAAAGTTCCAATATATATCTCCTTAATTATGAATAAGTTAAAAAACTCTTTTGGTCTTGATAATATTTTTTTGTTTTAATTTAGTCATACTTTAAGTTTATGTCTCAATTTGGTCCTCAATAATTTAAATTATTGTAATTTGAGACTTTCGTCCAAATAATTTAAAAGGGGTTAATTCTTGTTGATGTGGATGCCACGTAGATGCATAGGTGGATGTCAAATGTCATGAATACACCTAGAACCAGAATAACCCGTTCTGAAACCAGAACGACCCGTTCTACATGCCTATTTTATGTGTTAATTTTACAAATGTAACGGGCCGTTCCAAATGCAAATTTAACACACCATGAGTGAAGCAGAACAGACTGTTCTAAAACCAGAACGGGCCGTTATGCTGTTAGAACGGACCGTTCTGAATTCAGAACAGCCCGTTCCAGAACGCTAAGTTCATGCTTTTTATTATATTTTTTTTATTATATCTATATTAATAAAAATATAATAAATAAAAAATACAATAAATTAATATTCATTTATGAATAAAACTAAAAAAAAAGAATCAAATAAAATAAGACCTTCCAAAATCCTTCTTTGATTTGAACTTATCTAGTTCAAAATCTTGACTAAAATGTCGCAATGTGATTAAAAAATTGAAAATAAAAATTCATAATATATCATAAATTCAAAGACAGAAACATGGTTCAGAAACTGAAAACAAAAATTCAAAACATAACATATACTAAAAAAGTTCAAAGAAATTCTTGAGAAAGGAAATCATCTGGGTAACGTTGAATGGAACAAGAGATTTCACATTGGTGATAGTGAGGGCAGGGTGAAATTTGGCGCTTTCTGCCATGTTTGAGAGTGAGAAGAAGAATGGGGGAAGAAGAAAAAGATGAACGGCTAGGGTTCAAGAGATAGGATTGAAACTGTCTGTGATACCATGAAGGAAATTGATTCCGTGTCGATTGCATTACAAATCAGATTAATATATACAAGATACAAGCGCCAAGATAGGCTATAAAATAGCTAACTAATGGCTGAAATTATGGTAACAAATATTGACTAGCTAAATAAAGATATATACAAGTAATAAGAGAATATATGCTAAATATATTCTAACATTGGGGTACATCGTCAATGACTTCAAGGGAAAATACCGTTTCGTTTCATCCTTAACTGTATAGTATCAATTTGGTAGTAAGTGGTTCACTCCAGTTTGACTAACAATGAAATAAAACTTGTTACCATTGTCCTTAGTGATACACTGCATCGTCCTTAATGATACATTGTATAAGCCCAAATGTTTAGCAATTGAAGTTATCAATACCCATTAAGAATATTACCAAATCTAGTGTTTGAAATGCTTTGTATTTTGGTTTTTTTTTCGAAATTCTGGAACCAGAACGGCCCGTTCTGGTTACACTGTTGGTGTGTTAATTTTGCATATAGAATGACCCGTTCCATGTACAAAATTTACACACCAATAGTGTAACCAGAACGGGACGTTCTGGTTTCAGAACGAGTCATTCTGGTTCCAAGTGTATTCAAGTATTTTGGGATCCACCTACGTGGCATCCACCTGGCATCCATGTGGCCACTAGTTAACTTCGTTTAAATCATTTAGACAGAAGTCCCAAATTACAATAATTTAAATTATTAGAGACTAAATTGAGACTTAAAATTAAAGTAAGACTAAATTTAAAAAAAAAAATATTATAAAAAACTAAAAAAGGTTTTTAACCTTATAAATACAACTTTTTTTACTATAAGCTTTTAAAATTGCAACTTGCAACAAAATTGATTAAATGATAACGAATCCAACTTCTCTAAAACGAGTGATTATAAGCAATCTCAACTATTTTTTTTAGATAATTACGAGTTGAGTCATTTGAAATAAAGAGATGTACGTGTGAGGTGACAAAAATATAAGAAATTCATAATATTGACCTTTAATTTTCTCACACACATATATATATATATATATATATATATATATATAT